CTGCTTTCTGGAAATATCTTGTACTTTCGTGAATTGTCGGGAAATTACTAGATATAGGGTAGGCGGATATATATAAGAGGGGACAACGTGACGCTTTAAGGTGTGTATAGATAGTGAGTAACTGAACTGCAGTCAGAAGTATTATTGACGTTCGTTGATATAGCGTTGTTTAGCGCGATTGTTGAAGTTGAGTGTATCGGTAAAGTTGTATTCGGAAAGAATAAACCAGTTTTATTAAATAAGGACTTGTGTCGCTTAAAATTTCGTCGGAACGAAGTTACGGAAAAATCAATCAACAAACGGAGACGTAACACCACTATCAACTGCTGTAATTTCTTTTCTTGTTTCTTTTCTTTATTCTCCAACAACTGCTGCAATCTCTTTTGTTTATTTTGCTGTTCGAGCTGCCACTGTTGCAAGTTTTTTTCCCACTGTTGTTGTTTCTCTTCTTGTTTCTTTTCTTTTTCCTCCAACAACTGCTGTAATCTCTTTTCTTGTTTATCTTCTCGTTCTTCTTGTTTCTCTTACTGTTCTTGTATTGCTGCCATCAAATCTGTAGTTTTCTAAACTGTAGTTTGATTTGCCACTTCTCATTTCCATCTTCTTCTTTTTTTTTCTTTTCTTTTATCCCACTTCTGATACAAATTTGTTACCTATCTGGTCGTTTGTTAATTTCCGGTATAAATTTTTTCCGAGGAACTTCAGCGATACGATACGAGTCCTTTCTTAATTAAAACTAGTTTATTCTTTCTCGATACAACTTTGTAATACACAGAATTTCCACAGTCACTTTAAACTTAACACCCTTATAATACACGCTATAAATCACTGCATTCACACACTTTAACTACGGTGCCTACTGCTCTCTTGACTCAATTATATCTCTCTTCAATCTATCTCCGGCTTATATACTAAAAAAGAGGGCGTCTAGCAAACGCTTGGACATTCGTGAGGTTCCCCGATAAGTCACGATCCTTCTAGAAACTCCAGTGCGCATGCTCCCAGAGTCGCGTGACTTCCGCTGTCGTAACAATATTAATTATTACTCAAATTGTTATTTCAGTCGTTCTTAATGTATCAAGCGTCTATATGCAAAGAAAAGCATATTATTTTTATCATTAACTGAAAATATAGCCTAAAGATACTTTGCAGAATTTACCAGGTTTCATTCGCCCAGGCCCCTGGGCAGTTGCCTTTTTGCCCCCCGCCCTTCCCTGTCGGCGGGCCTGATGATTAGCTTTCCCTAGTAAGCAAACATCAGAATTGAAATATGTAAAATATATCTAACAATACTATTTCAGAGACTTGCTTAATGACTCTCACTAAAATTCGGAATTAGATATCTCGGTGGGTAGAGCTTAGACAGCCCATTGTGTAGCTTTGTGTTAAAAAAAAAACTGCTTACTTTGGTTAGCTACTTTTTGTAAAAGCTTACAATTGATTATAATAGTGAATTTTACATTAGTAAATGGTAACATGTTTTTCAGAATTATTTTACGAAGTTGGTAGAAAATATCTTTGTCGTATTTGAATAATTTACTTACCTTCATAAATAATTTAATACCAAAATGTTTCACAGCAGTGATTAACTGTGTTTACGAACTAGTAATAAAATAAAAATATATATTTGCTAGTTATTTTTTAATTTGGCACTAGAGTGCAATGGTGAAGTCGAGCATATTAAAATCGAAGTTTCAAGGTCTTATTTGAAAATATTTTGTTTTATACATCTTAGTGCTATCGATTAGAAAGTTTTAGTAACTTTAGAATCAGAACTTGAGAAGAGGAAGAAACATTTAAGCTGGTTGATTTCTCGGACAGTACCTTTATTATTATCAGTTTATAACTTAAGCTAATTATGTGTTAGAATTGTTGCTTGGCCATTACTGATCATCTAGATTTACAAATTACGCTACACTACAGTGTATAATATCAGTGCTGTTGTCTACCGAGTGACGTACCAGTGAAATAAAGTAGGTATAACAGTTGTGTACGCAGAAAGACCGAATGTTTAATATCTGGTGCCGTGGAACCATGAATACGATTAGGATAGGCTAAAGAAGTGGATATAGTTGGAAGGTTACCAAAACCCACTTTCAAGTGTAAGCACAGTTTGTCAGTTGTCATGTTCGTATCGTTGTCAATGTTTGGAGTAAGGTCTGTCATCAGCTTAGTTTGTACTTAGGAGATTTACGAAGCCCTGTGTATGAAAATAAGAATAAATTATTTAACATGGTGATACTGTTTTAGATAATGTTGAATTTAGCACTTAATTCCTGTTGTGATAACTAATAGTATATCATATGACTAAAATTGTAGATATTTGTTTCATTATAACTTTTGCATTTTACAGCGGCTGGGAAATATACGTCCCAGGTGCAGTGAAAGGTCAATTTAAATATTAAAGTTGCATGAAATTCATGCTAATAAGTAATAATACCTAATATGTTTATATTTCACAATTTCAGTTGACTTCTCTCTCTCTTTTTAATTTCAGTCAGCAGTAAACTTACAGTGAAAAAATTAAGTGATAGAACTTATTTTTATGAATGGTATTTTAATTATCAATAACTAACACCACAGTTGAACTTTAAAACATTTAAAGCTAATCATCTCATGCAAAAGCCATTGGCAATGGGCACTGTATTGTACAGTGTATGAAGGCTTCAGCCTTCAGAAGTATTGTAAAAACGGTATTTATTATTATTTCTGTCACTTAATTTTAAATTATGTTAGTGGGTCTTTATAATTGAGCCTCATGTTTACAATTGCATGCTATGTTATTAGCTTTAATTCATGCGTAAAATCTCAGTAGAAAAATTAATTAATCTTGTTTCTTTTTACACTTCCTTTTGTTGCCTTTGGATGTTGTGGAGGCAGTAAATTTAAGTGAGTATAAGAAAAAGCTTGATAAATATATGAATAATAAGGTCTAGCGTGTGTAAGCTTTTATTGGAAGTTTATGTCAAAATAAAGAAAAAAAATTGACTTTATATTGTACTGATAAATATGATTGGTTTAATTGTTATTAGTGGCTCACAGAAAAGTGTTAATGATGATAGGGAAAATGTTGTGTCTTTTTTTTCTCGGCACATGGATTGCTGTGTATATACACACACATAATAGAAATAATTAACTTCAAACATTTACTTTATAAAAAGTGTTTTCACATTGTAACTGTGTTTGAACAGAAATGTGAAATATCTCTGTTTTCAAACACTTCTCTCTGTTGGCACTTGGAGGAAGAAGTGACCTCTCCCTATTTTGGGAGTCTGGCTTGACCTTTTCATGGTTTTCAAACTTATTTTTGTTTGCAGAATACCTGAATGTTTTTCTCAGAAGACCATAAACTATGCTGCTGTTTCCTTTCCATACTTTTGGAACCTTTACACAGACCATCTTATGAGAGCTCAGCTCACATATCATAACAGTTGCTCTAGAGCACTTCCATAAGCACATACATAGAGCACATTATATAACCTTTATTTCTGCCTTAAAAACTGTGAGATTAAGTAAATGACCTGAGAAGTAGGTATGCAATAAAAATCAATATTCTCATAACTGATTTACAAAAATAATAAAAAGAAAATGTACATTAAGTTGCAAATTTTGGAACTCAATGCACGAGTAATTATGTTACATAATACTCCTTGCAGTCTGAGAACATCATTAGCTATGAAACATTTAATGTATTCATCTCTAAAAATAATTTCTTGTTGATATGACAAATAATAAATAAGGTATAAGTAATTATACAATACCAAAAAGATTCACCACTACCCACATCACCCCAATCATAAAAAATTGTTTGTCATCATTCTTTGCTTCTTCACTAAACCCATTTCATCAACAATTAAAATGTAACTTTTTTACATCCTACAAGATATGTTTTAAAGAATTCAAAGTAACAACATAAACCACCTCCTCAGACAAGCAGTTCATCAAATTTGCATTAGAATTGGGCGATCTAGTATAATGCTCTTGTTGTGTGATATTTTACAATCAAATGTAAAACATGGTTGAAACCATTAGTAGGTACTTTTTAATTGTTTGAGGTGATATATATGTATTTATAAAGGAATGAAACTAGAATCTGCTTTCTGCCAAAGAAACCTGAAGCATATATTTTGTGTATACAGGAATGGGCCCAGAATCTCTAACTAGCAACTACAAGAATATTTTATCTTGCATCACAAGCTTAAACAATACCACCGTGGACAGGTCGACAGAAGAAACAGTTACATTAACCAAAGCCCAGCTGCGGGCACTCCTTGATGTGATTGGACAGACTCGATGTAAGTTTTTACTTGGATTTAAATAGATGGGATTCTTAAAGTTGTGTGCATATTTGTTTTCCACATACATTCTGCGTAGATAGATTTATTGTAAACATAGAGGTACAGAGAAAATCTGAGATGATTAAGTGCTTAATTGAAATGTAGTTTCTTTTTATAAGTAGTTTGTATCTAAGACATTGATAGGAATAACTTATTTATGCTATGTAATTTATCAGGTTAAGTATGTTACATCAAAGTTATTTTGGAGTCTCATCACATCAGTACAGTCTGTATCACCATGTTGGTTCATTCTCTGTCTGATAGCTATGCATTTTACAATATCCCTGCAGCAAATTTTCCATTGTAAATGGCTCCATCATAAGGTTATCATGTCCAAATCACACCCCTCCTCCCTTCAGGCATTCAGTAAGTCATCTAGCATATGAATATAGTGGCTTCCAAGTTTCTGTTTCAACTATCCGATCATACATAAATTAATTGGTGTTGTTTCTGAAGATTTGATGGATATGTCTTTGTGTTGAATAATATGAATACCATTTTCATTCTTCAGCTGCTTGATATATATGCAACAGTTGTATGGATATGTTGTGGAAGCAACTTGTGTACACATGAATTGTGTCACTTTTCCAGCAATGCATCTTGATGACATTGCACACTGTTGCCTGAACCATGTGAACAGCTTTTGCCTGGATCTTTTATATTCATGGATTTTCACCTGTTACAAGACATGCTTTACATATCACGGCTGGGGTAGGACTTGCTGATGGTCTCTTCTGGAAGATCCTGGTGCTACAAGTTCATCTACATTCCTTAGTTTTTTGATACCATTAAGTAAAAGGAATATCACCATCTTTGAAATTCTAAATCCCTAATATGAAAACCTCGTTATGATTTAGGTATATGCTTTGTTTCAGAAAATACTGTACATACCCTTCCCTAAACTTATAAATTATCAGTGGCATCACACTACCTACAAAACCCCAAGAATGTCAAAATATAGTTCTGATACATGCTGTTCAACTGGAGCTTTATATCAGCTGTAGTTTTGTCTTGTGACTGGCTGATTTGCATTTTCAAAATAATTTTCATACTTAACCCCCTGTATAAAGAAAATTTCTATATTAATCATTTGCTTTTGACTAACTGATCACTCTTTTACAAGCAGTTTATCTTGTATGTTTAAAGTTTTGTTAGTTACAGTTCACTAATTTGTTTCTCTCTCTCTCTCTCCAAACAATTCATTGTTCTTGAACATTAAAAGTAGTCTCAGTCATTTACTCCAAGCAATTCATCTTCATTACATATTTATCTAAAGAAATCTCAGTTACTGTTGGTCGACTTGTTTTCTCCAAGTGGTTCATTATTATCACATGTTTATTTAACATAATTCCAATCATTACTAACTTGTTACTTTACTCCAAGCTGTTCATCTGTTCAGATAAAATACTCCTAGCTTATTTTCGTAGAAGAGTACACA